CGACGCGGATTCGAAAACGTTTGGGCGGCTGGGGGGCGAAAGCGTCGGGATGGGGTCGAACGCCTCTCTGTACATTTTTTTTTGTTCACGGCGCAGGAATTGTGCAAGCGGGCACAAATTGTAAAATACGACTACGACGCGCAGTTAGCGCCAAGTCATGCGCAAGGCATGCCCGGTGGAAAAGAACATTCGACCCTTATTTTTGGAAAACAAACTGCGGGAACCTCATGCACATTCGAGCTTGGGATTTTTTGCTGCGCTTGGGAAATCTGCGGAGATGAAGCGTGGCAGTGACGTTCATCTCAACGTCTGTTGCCTCAGAGGTGGCCCCCCGCGCGGTTAGCACGCTGCGCTGTGAACCTGACGACCCGAGTTCGATTCCTGACCACGGATTGGCGAGTTTTCTTTAGACTTGATTCATTTCGTGTGATTTGTCCTGCGCTTGGACATGTGTTTATAAAACGGGTGATTTAAATATTTGTTATTTCTGCACAAAACCGAGTAAAAAGATTTAGGAAATCAGTTTTATAAAAATTGCATGTTAATATTGAGGGAAAAATAAATATACAAGTAACAAACAAAATGGAGTGTCATTAAAGTACTGCTTATACCTCAAATTTATATGCAAATGTGTTGAACCAAATGTAGCCTGTGCATATCAGCCCATAAAACTATACACAAATAGCATCACCCCAGGCTGTGTTTTTCGTTCAACCCCATCGGAAAAGTTCATGTTTTACTCACACCGAGACAATCGCCCCAAATCCAAATCCATATAAGTGCTCTACAAATATTGCCTTCGTCTTATTTAAATGCCATCTTGACGGCACCTTCACCTGACTTCCAAAAACAATGACTGCCAAACGGTGAAAGATATATTTCTTTTTTAAAACACACAAGAGTCGATAGCCAGGAATAAAAAAAAAGCAGGTTACTGCGCACTTTGCAGCCTCGTTTCATCTTCGGAAATGCCAAAGTTAGTCAAAAAAAGATGATCGTCTCGTGTTGACACAGCGGGGCCACTACTTCCGCAGCGGTGTTTGTTTGGAGCGGCCGATGGCCTCAGTGGGTGGCATCTGCTCGCTAAACAACGTGTGGCAGCTTGAGGGGAGGTGGTTGGGGGAAGAGACAACTGGCCTCAGTGCCCGGTGAAGGCACAGAAATAGAGAAAGAGAGCGGCATTGCCCACCGCTGAAAAAACACCGGCCCTGCGACGGAGTGCGGCGTGTTTGGTGTCACTCTTTGGTTCTTTCGGTAAAGTCACGTATAAAGATACAATAATAAATTAAATACTAGCACACGACGTTTCGGTTGCAACACAAGCAATCATCATCAGGTATAAATGAAATAGAAACACAAATCTAGTTTGGTGTTCATCTTCTTGCTTCTTTCGGTAAAGTCAAGTAGAAGGGAAATAATAAAATAATAAAAATACAACATTGTAAAATACAATTCTCACGACGTTTCAGCCACAACGCAAGCAGCCGTCCTCAGGTGAAGAACAGGTCTGTCGGAAAGACAGAGTCTGACAGACCTGTTCTTCACCTGAGGACGGCTGCTTGCGTTGTGGCCGAAACGTCGTGAGAATTATTTTATTATGTTAAATTTTTATTATTTTATTATTTCCCTTCTACGTGACTTTACCGAAAGAACCAAGAAGATGAATCCCTGCAGTCACGAAAGCTTTAAATCGAAATCTAGTTTGGTGTCTTTAGCGCCACCGAGTCGCTCAACGGGCTCGCGGTTTCCCGTGTCAGAGCTTTCCCCGAGTCGCCGCCAGTTAGACATTGCGTTCAGCCACTTGTAATTAACCAAGTCTCAAGCGTTGGGATGCTGCTGCCATGGTGTAACGGTTAGCACACTGGACTAGCAATCCAGAGGTCACTGGGGTCTGATCTCCCGGCACGGCAGTTGAAACAACAGACAAAAGTTTTTTTTTAATCCCCACACACCTTTGTCCACAGTTGGTCGATCGACAGTTCGCATTTGGTGGGGTAAAGGGTGGGTACCTTGAGCTACTTCTGTGACATCTGGCCAGCATGGATTAGGCCAAAATGCCCTCTAGAGGGGCACCTCCAGAGATCCCTGAAATGGAAGCCCCTTCTACCAGCAGTCGTGTTCGCAAGCGGAATTGCAGGGCTGCGCCTTTGTCTTTTAATCAAATGTAATGAGCTCATGGTCTCAGCTCGCCACAATCAGAGATTATAAGAAACTGTAAAATGAAAAGTGGCTTTTAAATTAGTTTGGGCAGGTTCAGCTCCGAGAGTTAAAATTTGCCCACCATAATAAAGGTTTCTTGGGTTAGATCGCATAAATATAAACGTGTCGTTAAAACCGCCACCACTAACCCAAAACATCTGTATTATGGATATACTATTGGTGCTCAACCCAATTTGTACACGCCAAACAGTTGACATGCAGAAAACAATTATTTACAGATCGGAAGAGGATATCTACAAGCGCAATGAAGCGACTCCAAAAGTACTTCTTTCTGTCACTTGACTTGGCGCGATGCTCTGCTGACAACAACATTTCAGAAGGGCGTTTCCTTGCCTCGTGCCGTGGTTATATTTGAACATAGGATGTAAGCGGAGCTAAAGTCAACTTATTTCAATACTGTCAATTCAAGAGCTAGCCAGGTAACTTTGGATGAGGACACTGGGCTGGCACCGCTGAGATGGTGGGTTTCGATCTGGCCAAGTGTAGTAAGTTGAGGGCCTCAACCCGGTCGCCAATGTCCACGTACAAATTCTAATATTAAATTAATATTTTCAATCGATTTGGCAAAAGAAGACTAGCTCTGAAAATTAAATAACTTATCTTACGTTTTGATGACAGTGTGATCAACATCCTTGCAACAGGCCACATAGGGAAGTGGAAAATAAGAGGTTTGAAGAGGAGGTGATCTCATAAGCAGTTCTGTGAGATCTTCTTCCATGCGCCGATCACTCGCATGCGTCGATGCGATGGATAATACCTCGTCTCACGGCATGATACCAATAGTACAAACTGAATAAAACTGACACAAAGGTAGTTTTCTTATTTTAAGCCACCAATTCTATAAAATAACCAAGTTCCTCCCATGAATCCAAGTCACAGCATGGTCAACCTTACACACCAAAAATAGCATGCGTTTTTTTCCCTTATGTACACACTAAATAAAGTTTAAATAAAATTTTCCGGAACTGCCTTTTATTCACACAACTTTCCATCAACACATTTCCTTTAGTGTAATATAAAAAGGAAACTTTTCCCAACAATTAACTCGTATATTTTTACAAAGACTCGTTTAGTAACCTAATTTATATGCTGGTGGAAAGGCAAACGTTGGCAGAAATTGCACTTTGCCAACACATTCATCAGGCCCATTGTCCAAGCAGGCCACGAAGATTTGTGAAGACCCCATCCATAGTTTGTGCTGATCAACAACTTTCATGTGCTGGTAGGAAGGCAAACGTTGGCAGAAAATGCACTTTCGCCAACACATTAATCAGGCCCATTGTCTAAGTAGGCCACGAACATTTGTGAAGACCCCACCTCAGATTGTAAATGTTGCGTCTTGGCTCTCCAACACACCGGTGTGCTGTACTCGTAACGAATTGGCACCTTCTGTTTACGTGACAAACCTTACTAATTTCTGTGTTGGGTGGTGGCGGGTTTAACGACACATTAATATATTTACACGATCTAACCCAAAAAAACCTGTATTATGACCCCACCAAAGTATGCGTTGATCAAAAAAAACTTTCCCAAAGTGCCCAGCGCTACGTGGACCTCCACCGCCCCCTTGTGTTTGCCGTCAGGCAGTAGACGGACTTTCAATGTCTCAGGCTACAGTGTTGTGGTACTATGTAGAAAAACGAGTTCCTTTGATGATTTAACTTGTTTTTAAATCCTTTATATTAAGTTCACTTGCTTGCAATCGAGCTGACATTTTGCACACAGACTCGTTGTGCGTGACAATGTATTTTCGTGAAATTTTTTTTCCAAAATTTTACACTTTTTAGGAAAAAATAAATTATATTTAATTACCAATTGCTTAATGGTGGCAGGCAATCATCTGACCCATAGGTGGCAGCCATCTCAAGCCAGAGGACGAGAGGACTCTAGCCGCCACGCATATAAAGGATTTATAGTGAAAAACTTTGTTTTTACGGGTTAATTTTTTTTACATGCCCTTGTCTACATTGCCCACGAAAGAAAAAGTGCCGAATGCTGGCAAGCCATACTTCACCACGCTGGTCAGTGTAGGTTGGGTGAAAGCACAGATGAGGGAGGAGTACAGTAGCAATACAAAAATGGATTTGTGCTGCAGCCGATAGCAACCTTCTAAGCATCGTGGTCTCACCCACCTACTACTATCCAGGCTCAAGCCGGCTTAGCTTCCGAGACGTATTATGATCGGGTGTGTTCCAGATGATTTGGTCATAGGTGTCATTTCTTCTACAAGAAAGCATTAATGGCCAACTTTCCAAGTTTATTTTTTATTTGTGCCTCTAAGCTACCTGCTACTGAATTAGGTGGTGGTGGGTGCCGAGGGGGGGGGTGGGTGAAAATTCTTACCCTCCTAATACAAAATAAATGACAACAAAAACATCGGCGCACACATTTTAGGCGCAACGTACAAAGAAAAAATTAACTCGTAAAAACAAAGTTTTTCACTATAAATCCTTTATATGCGTGGTGGCGAGAGTCCTCTCGTCCTCTGACTTGAGATGGCTGCCACCTATGGGTCAGATGATTGCCTGCCACCATTAAGAAATTGGTAATTAAATATAATAAAAAAAAAATTCCTAAAAAGTGTAAAGTTATGGAAAAAAATTTTCACGAAAATAAATTGTCACGCACAACGAGTCTGTGTGCAAAATGTCAGCTCGATTGGATCACGGGAAGTGGGTTAAAAAACGACCGAAAGATTTGCACGGTCGCAAGCGCGCAAGCAAGCAAGTGAACTTAATATAAAGGATTTAAAAAGGCAAAAGGAGAGCTGGTGAACTCACGGGAAGCGCTGGGAAGGCCGTGTCACTGGGCACGAGGCCTTCGTCCGCCGTCTGTCGGTACCACGGGTCGCTCACTTGAGGAGAGCGCATCCGCCCGAATGCTCTGGGCAACACAGGAGAGAAAGAAACGCCAGTGAGTACAATCATAATACTAGAACTATAAACTATTTGATTTTACGGTACCAGGTATTTTTTTCGATTTAAAGCTTTCACGACTGCAGGGATTCATCTTCTTGGTTCTTTCGGTAAAGACACGTAGAAGGGAAATAATAAAATAATAATAAAACATAATAAATACAATTCTCACGACGTTTTGGCCACAACACAAGCAGCCATCCTCAGGTGAAGAACAGAGCTGTCGGAAAGACAGCGCTCCAATGAACACTGCTAAGCTTGGCAGCGTATTTAAGCTGGGTGAGAGGAGTAGAGCGCCTTGACAAAGGAGTTTCCATATCAACAGAGAAATTTAGCATAATGTGAGAGATTAGCATGATGTTAAAGTACCAGGTATGTAAGGCCCCGCTGAGCTGTAGAGATAATTTTTAGAAGCGACCTCGCCACTGCAAATGACAGCTCAACGAAGTGGCTTATCGCATAGAAATTTATAGCAGACAAGTACTCGAAACGCACATTGATTCTAAATGTGGAGAAAGAAACCCGGAGGACCCGTTGAACAACACACGCGACCACGGGGAGAACATGCAAACTCCAAATACACAGCAGGAGTCAGGGTCGGGAACGAACCCACAACCTCCTGTATACCAGGCGAGGTAGTTAACATCTCTCCACCATGACGCAGTCCCTTCCTCCAGCCATCCGTGCGGTCAACTCCCTGGCTCCGTTCAAGTCCAGGCTCAAGACCTCCCGTACTCCTCCTCTGCCTCCGACTGCTATCATGTCCCCAGCACTGATGTTTGCATATTGCACCAGGTGCTTATTTAAGGCTGGATGTAGACTCACACACGCATACACAAGCGCTAACACTCATACACCACAACATACACGTAAAGATACTCCATATAGCATAGAACAGACTGTTGGGGCAAGTGTGGTTCGCAAGCGCCGATGAGCACGGCATGGCACAAGAGGGCATGGGTGGCCAGTACCATGCTCGGCCACAATCCTAAACCAGGTACTCATGAAAGACTGAGTCACCTTAGGGGAGGCCCAGGACCGGTAAAAATATTTGCCACTTTTATTGGCCATAAGCTACATGCACAAGACAAAGACCCCTCCTCTTTATAGCCTTAACGGACCTTTGGGAGTAATTGCTATTCGTGAGCACCTACGAAGGCTGGAACGATACACGAGATGGTGGGTGGCCAAGCACCACGCCAGACCGTCTTTGTCTTTCCTGTAGTGGTTTTACACACTGCCCCAGGTACTCATTTGAGGCCGAGTCGACCTAGGTAGGGGAGGCCCAGGATCGGTTCAGATAATCGTCACTGGTATTGGCTGTGAGAGGGAATGTAACTCAGGTCGCTGGATTCATGGCAAAGTGTGCTAACCACTACACTACCGTTTCCCACTACATGCGCACACACAGACAACAACAAGAGCCGCCATTTGCCACTAAGTGGCCGTGAAGTCACCGCGGCGCTTGTGCCAGGCCAGGTGCACTGCCAAGGCCACATGAAGTATCGAAGACTGGCTGGAGGTCAAAGGAACGGACCAGATGCCATGAGCTTACTGAGATAACTGGCGGATGCACCACCAAAGACAAAGATACCCCATGTAGCGTTAACAGACGCACACACGCACACACACACACCTTGCTTGATGGACCGGCCCCACTGCCTTGCTGGGCGGCCCTCCCTGAACGAGGCCAGAGTAGTCCATCATGGACGGGTTGTACTCCATGCTGCAGTCGTGCTGCGCCAGCGAGCGCATGGCCCCTGACTTGTGCTGTTGCTGCTGCTGCATGCGTGGGGGGAGGCTCATCTGACCGCGGGGGGCACCCTCCCTCTCTCCCGGGCGCCCTCTCACGTCCCGCCTCTTCCCACCCTTGTTCCAGCCGTCCTGCTCCGCCAAGTCTGGAGAGATCGGGCACGAACGTAAACGTAACATCCGACGTGAAGATCTGTGCAAAAGTCGATGCCATCAATTCCTGGCCACATTGTGGGCCGACACCTAAAATGCTTAGCAAGCTCTGGTTGTCTTCCCTCCAAGTATTAACCAATCTTGATTTGAAGCTTTCGTGACTGCAGGAATCCATACCCTTTGGTTCTTTCGGTAAAATCACGGAGGTATAAAAATAAAAGAAAAAATCATAAATCACAACTTATTATTTTATATTTTATTTTATTTTTCTACCTACGTGACCTTTACCAAAAAAACCAAAGAGAAAGTATTAACCAGGCTGAAAATCTGCTTTGCTCATGAAATCTGATAAAATCGGGCACAGTTAGTGTGATTTGGTCAGAATTACTTTCCCACTGCAAACAATTTGAGGTCGAGGTCAAGAGTTCATCGCAGCGAATGTTGCTCTGCTAAACCCGAGGTCAGATTTTCTCTCTCCACGTGCTGCTGCCGTGCACCTCTTCTGTTCTGTCATCCTCCGGTAATGTTACCGATGATACAAAGCCTGCCCATCGCTTCCTTCATCCCGTCAGATGCCTTAGCTGTTGCAGTGCCAACAATCCACCTCCAAGGTATACTCCGTCAATTTCATCGCCAGCACCTGGCCTTAGTGCTTTCCCACGATCGCCAACCTCCAGGTGTCATCCAAATGTGCATCCTGGTATCCCCTGCCCTTCTCCATCCTGCACGCGTGCCCCACTCACTGCCACCGTCTAAGCCCGCTTACATCAACAAAACTGCGTTGCGATGCTTTAAGAGTCTGAACCTCGAAGTCGGTAACTCTCTTGTGTCGTTGAATTCCGAGCCATGCATTGCATTGCACACAATGTACAAATTAAATGTGGCTCAAATAATCAGGTGTTACACTTACTCATGTACTAAAGAACGCTCATTGACGTCAACAGAATGAACGCAGCTGGCGCTGCGAGCCACGCGATACGAGGCATGCGCAGTTTTGTCGATCAAAGTGAAATGTATTCACCCCCGTGTGTGGGGCCACACGGCAGCCCTGATAAATAATTTGTGCGCTCGCGTCGCTGTAAGAGGATACCTGGAGCCGATCCCCAGTACGTGAGTGTCGGGTTCCAGGAGAGCGGCTTCAGATTCTTCAAGGCAACACATTTACTGAAACACACGCACGCATTATCATGAATCGCACCGAGACACACATTGACAAACAATTTTTTTTATTTCAACCAGGTAAGGCCCACTGAGCTGTACAGTATAGCGACCTGGCCACAAATGATAGCACAACGAAGTGGCTTATTGCGTGGAAATTTACAGCAGCCAAATACTCTAAATGCATGTTGATTCTAAATGTGGAGAAAAAAAACAGAGGAACCGGAGAAAAATCCACGCGGCCACGGGGAGAACATGCAAACTCCAAATATACAGGCGGCAGGGTCGGTATTGAACACGACCTTCTGTATACCAGGCGAGGTAGTTAATATCTTATCACTTATACATTCGCGCACTCGGCTAAGGTACCTAAGAGAGAAATACTAAATCTCACAAGACAGATAATGCTTTCCAATCGTGTGCCTGTTATGTAGTTCACTATACATGGCCAATACACATCTCAATTGACAAAACACAAAAACTCCCAAGAATGAAAGTGCAAGTTCAAATCCTGATCAGGAGTGACACAGCCCCCGAACATGATCATCATCATTATCTTCAACATTCGTAACAAAAATAAAAACAGCTGCTGCATCCTGATGGGATGATTGGGGCGTCGGCTACGGCTGGTCACCATCAAAGCCAGCGCCAGCAACAACGAACCACCACCAGCAACGGCACGAGAACGTGTGTACGATGAAATTCTTTCGCACCATATGTTGCCAACCGCGCTAATCGGAGGTGCGGGGGAAGGACAACAAACTAAACACAAAAAGCAGTTCTAAAAAAATGGGTTTTCAATTTCCATTTAAAAGTGCATAACTCCAGTGGATTCCTAATATCAGAAGGAAGAGCATTCCAGACGGCCGCAGAAGCGCATCTGAAAGCGCACGATGCAGTAACCATCTTTGTTCGATGGCCAGCCAAGAGCCATTGCTGCCGACTGCTGCGGCTGCGAGAACGGTTTATGCCCTTCAACAATACCAGCAAGGTATTGTGGTTTATTTGTGGAAAGCACTTTGTGTGTAACGAGTGCGGCCTTCTAACGGCAAGCGGAAAACGGTGCTCACCTGCCCTTGAGCTCCTCTACGTAGACGTTGACGGGCCCGTTCTCCGTGAAGATCTCCGTGATGTATGCGGGGTAGTAGCGGTCTCCCCGCTCCTCAACGCGCACCTGGCAGCGGTCAAACACGCAAACACATGACGATCAAACACAACACTATATGGATATACACAGTGCCTAAATACGACCGCGTGTTTATAGATATTACGTGATGGAAGAAACGAACGGACATGCACACAACGGAGTAAGCATGCCAAAGATCATTCAATTTGCAGATTTAAATAAATTCTTATCATTGTCCAGTCCACGAAGATCTAAAGCACATGTGAAAACAAAACAGAACGGAGGATTCTTTACTGAAATGTGACCACAAATGTAAAAATTCATCAGTGGGGGGTGTCGATGCCCAAGAGTGAGGCAAAGGGCACAACAGTCGCATCACGTTCTCATACACAACACACAAAAGTGCGAATAAGAAGAGAGCTCACCAGACACTGATCGCCTTCTGAGAAATGAACTCCAGGAGCCGATCCATGATCTGCTTCGTGTTGCTCTGCGCCAGAAAGTAGGCACGCTCATGATCAATTTGCCTCGGCAAAGCTTTCGAATGTTAAAAAAGTACAGCCGGAGTTCACAACATTGCAGTTAACCTTCGATTATCCGAGGGCGGATTATCTGGGTTTCATACAAGCCAAACGTTAAATACGGAGTAAGTTTTGTCGACACGTGTACGAAAGTTTAGCTGCAAGATGGCAGCCAAAGTTGAATTCGCGTAATCACTGGGACTCACAGATCCACATCATGACTAACTGGGAGAACTATTCAAATATTAAAATTAAAACGATTAATCAAATCTAAATTGGCAGCTAATTTTTTATATGGCGGGGAGTTTGGTTGGTCGGCAATGTTTTCTCTGCTCGTGTGGAGGTCGCTGGAGCCAGCGGACAGCTTCACAAGCGCCGTGGTAAATATCTCTAACGCAGCCTGCGAACGATCAACGCGGACAGCTTCGTCACTATGCGCTTTCCTACGGTTTGAGATCGGCACCGATGTAGATGCAGAGCAACAACTACAACGTCACATGCAGGTGCTCAAGCCAAGATAACGGCGTCAGGAGGAGCGGAGTTGTACACCGCTGCGATTTCGCCTTCGTATATTTGTGGATCGGGGCATTGCATCGTTACACGTTGTACAGTCTGTTCTGGATGACCAAAGTCGCACACTACTACTGGAGAGTTGTTAATTTTACAGTCGCACTGTGGGCTATGCACAATTGACCATAGGTGTATGACGAAAGAGATGCCCGCGTCTCCTGTGCGAAACGAAACAAACTATTTTGATAAAATTTGTTTAACTAAACTAAATCTACTAATTATTTTACCAGGTAAGAGCCCACTGAGCTATATAACTCTTTTTCAGAAGCGACCTGGCAACGAATGATGTGGAAATTAATAGCAGCCAAATACTTTAATCGCATGTTCCTAAATGTGGAGAGAAAAACCAGAGGACCTGGAGAAAAATCCACGCGACCACGGGGAGAGAGATGCAAACTCCAAATATACAGCAGGCGTCAGGGTCGGGATCAAACCCACGACCTCCTGTATACCAGGCGAGGTAGTTAACATCTCCTAGCCACCGTGATGATGATGAGCGAGAGAGAGAAGCAAACTCCAAATACACAACAGGCGTCAGTGTAGGGATCAAACCCACGACCTCCTGCATACCAGGCGATGTAGTTAACATCTCTCCTAGCCACCGTGATGATGATCAGAGAGAGACGCAAACTCCAAATATACACAACAGGCGTCAGGGTTGGGATCGAACCCACGACCTCCTGTATACCAGGCGAGGTAGTTAACATCTCCTAGCCACCGTGATGATGATCAGAGAGAGACGCAAACTCCAAATACAGTAGGCGTCAGGGTTTGGATCGAACCCACGACCTCCTGTATACCAGGCGAGGTAGTTAACATCTCCTAGCCACCGCGGCGTTCACGCTCCTCAACCCCTATGGCGACCGGCACGAATTTCATAGTGGATGACAAAGGCACAAGCCCCATACTGTAAAACACTCATTCATACACAACACCAAGACTCTTCCCTGCCCCTCTTTGTTCAATGCTGTTTGCAGACGACAAACAATACCTGTGGTGTCTGTCTTTGCCGACAGGCGGTGGGTGGGCTAGAGCAACATTTACCTTTCCTGGAAGCAACCCACACCTCAAACTCCACGTTTCTGTACACAAACGGGTCCAGCGACTTCATGACGCTGAATGGGACGGACTGCAATCGTAAGCACAAGCACGCAAGCACACGCACGCAATCAACTACGCGCACACCGTCCATGTAGGTTCAACACCAGCAGCCTTGATCAATTCACTGCTGGATGAAGGCCTTGCCGAGCAGTTGCCATTCTCCCGTAGGCACGCAAGATAACAATCCATCTAGCTCCTGCACAAAAGCCCATTTCATCGTCGCAGGCGTGTTCAATGATCATAAAATCTATTCCAGAAAGTGCCTATATTTTAGGTTGGTGGCTCATGCAGTTTTGTAAAATAAAATATTTGTAAAATGCCCAAACACATAGAGCTTCGAGCTGTTCTTCAGATGTCACTACAGGAAGCAGATTCTTAAATCCATCTGTGCGAAGCTGTGAGAGTTATCCCCTCGTACGTGCTGGTTTTCCCTTGGTAATCGAGTTAGCTCTCACAGGCAAAACGTGTGTTAGTGGAAATTGCCAAAACTCCAAGTGCAGGACCCAACTGTAAAAATCTTGGACACGAGATGCGGCATTCCCCGAATAAATTAAACATCCATACATTTACTAATTTTACTTGTAAACATGGTAAGCTAGCTGCTGATTAGTTGACGAGTAAACTGTGGCAGTTAATGGGAAATGTGTCATCGTGTTAGCTTGGGTTACTGAACACTATTACATAATGCAATTATTGAAAAAACATAAGAATAAATTATTGTATATTGCTTACCTCAATATCTCCCCTGGAAAGACAAAATAAAAAGGACAGTATCAATAAAACAACTCGATGTAACTTTACCAATGCAACACGACTGCTTAAGGTAATGAATGTCCGACTGTTATACACACGACAATGTACTGCACATGTCGACTCAGCTCCAGGCTTGACACTCGCTTTGTACACCGCTCAATTTGTTTTACAGCCCCCCTCCGTCAATCCATTGCAGGATGAAGGCCTCCTCGTATTCCACGTCAACCGTTGGGTTGTTTGACCATACTTCACCACGCTGCTGAGCTCGAGCCGGCGAAGGAAGGAGAGGTGGGGGCCCACTACCAGCTCGGATATCACTCGCCACCGATGAAATTAATTGTCGGGCATAGAACTCAGCGTCGGCGGGTTCATAATGACGTGCCCAAACCCACGCAATGCAGCGTGCGCAAAATTTGCCAAAGTCGAAAATAGCCGTCAAATTACTGTAGTGGGATTATACACGGCAAGCATCGTCCCCCCCCCCACTGGCAGACTCGTGGCCTGGGCCACTCTTGCAAATGAGACTTTATCCTGATCTCTTGAGTTCTGACCTGGTTAAACAAGATAAACTTGAAACTTGAACCACTGCATGAAATGAATGAGCGTGGCACAAAACAGGGGAGGTGGAAGGTGAGGGAAGGTCATGGGAGGTTGTGATGTGGTGTGAGGGGAGATGCGGGGAGGTGAGGGAAGTGAGGTTAGAGAAGTGAAGGTGACGTGAGGTCAGGTCATGTGATGGAAGGTGAGGAGAGAGGAAGGAGAGATGAGGGGAGTTGAGGTGAGAGAAGGTGAGACGAGGGGAGGTGGGGAGAGAAGAGGGGGAGGTGAGGGGAGGTTGTGATGTGGTGTGATGGGAGATGTGGGGAGGTGAGGGAAGTGAGAGAAGGGGAGACGAGGAGAGGTGAGGCGAGGGAAGGAGAGATGAGGGGAGTTGCGGTGAGGCAAGGCGAGGGAAGGTGAAGCGAGGGAAGGTGAGGCAAGAGGAGGGGGAGGTCAGGTGAGGTGAGGCGAGGAGGGGAGGTGAAAAAAATTAACCCGTAAAAACAAAGTTTTTCACTATAAATTCTTTGTATGCGTGGCGGCTAGAGTCCTCTCGTCCTCTGGCTTGAGATGGCTGCCACCTATGGGTCAGATGATTGCCTGCCACCATTAAGCAATTGGTAATTAAATATAATTTATTTTTTCCTAAAAAGTGTAAAATTTTGGAGAAAACATTTTCACGAAAATAAATTGTCACGCACAACGAGACTGTGTGCAAAATGTCAGCTCGATTGGATCACGGGAAGTGGGTTAAAAAACGACCGAAGGATTTGCACGGTCGTAAGCAAGCAAGCAAGCAAGTGAACTTAATATAAAGGATTTAAAAAGAAAGAGGTGAAGAGAAGCGAGGTGAGGAAGGGGCGGGTTAGGGGAGGTTCTGCGATTCAAATGCAACCAAAGCGGGGTGAGGTGAAGGTCGGTGGACGGGAGGCGGTGGGAGGCAGAACGCACCCGAAACTATCCAGGATGGCCTCCTCAGATGAGCTGTCATGGTTCTTGCGGCTGCGATAGAGCTCCACGGAGGCCCGTAGCGTCTGCCTGTTCACCTCGAACACGTGCTCGTACAGCAGCTCGTACAGCACCGCTGGCAGGGGGGAGGGAGCGAGCCGGGAGGTGGACAGAAAGAGACACGGAATTGGCATTCTGGTTGTATGTATGTTGAAATTATTTCGCACCTTACGGAGCTAACCGTGCTAAATGGAGGTGCGGAGCGGTGGGGGGGCGCCATCGAGGCCCTGCGTTCAATAAAAATATACTTTTACACTCCAGTCGAGTCGTGCCTGTGTGCCAACCGATTATTTACAATTCGTGTAAAAAATTATGAAATTGTTACGTTCATGTTACGTTTAAGCTCAAGGAGAAAACCAAACTGGTTGGAACACAATAAAAAAAAAGGTCAAAGACGAGTTGAAATATATATTTAGCAATTGAATCACAGCCCCAATTCATAAATACAAATCGAATCTCTGGAGGGTTGAATTGCTACATGTTTAATCATCACCATCATTGTTAATCTCGGTATTAACAAAAGCCTCTTATCCGCTAGTACAGCAGCATGAATGCAGCCGCTCCATCAAACGCAGCGTAATGCAAATCATCTCTTCCGTCTGGTTTTCAACGTTAGCATTTGCAAGGCATATCTGTTGACCGCAGTCGAAAAGCAATCGAGGCACTGCGGAAGGTGAAGAGATAAACATCTACGCCACTTCTCGCGTTCTACTCAACATGCGGTTCTCAGACAACACACGATCTGTAAAGGAGCAACGACATTTAACAGAGACAGACAGGCAGACTGGGTTGTGAATGAGAAAGTGAAAGGCAATCTGTGTTTAATAATCCAAAGCTTCACACTAGAGGCCGACCAAAACTGAATTTCTGGTTTCGGCCGAAACCAAAAACAGACCGAAAGTTAAACATTTACTTTCGACCGAGACCGAAACAGAAAGGTATATAACCGAAGTAACCGAACACCAAGATTTATGAAATATGTCATGATGCAATGCTACTTTAATTAAAAATAAATCTAGAACTAATCATTCAGAGCCTGCAGTAAGAGTCGCTAAATATCAAATCTTTAGGTGTTACTCACTTAGTAATTATATCCAAACAAACCAATGTTGTAGTTAAGAAACAACAGTTTTTCCGCATTCAGCCAGACCGGCTGCCGTCTGTTGACCGGTCGTATAAACATTAGCAGACCATGGTTGCGGCTGTAACCTCGCTCCCAAGCTGCTGCTGCTGCTGCTGCTGCTGATGTGTTTGTGTGTGTGTTTGCAGCCTATCGCATAGGATTGCCTAGCGCCGACTGACCAGCCGATTGGCAGTGATAGATGATGTAGCACTAGCGTTTTTTCAAAAAATAGATCTTCGGTTGACGAATGACTACCGAAGGTCAATATCAGTTTCGGCCGAAACCGAAACCAGAACGAAAGTAAAAAACTGACTTTCGGCCGAAACCGAAAGTATGCCGAAAGAGGCCATTTACCAACTTTCAGCGCCGAAACCAAAACCGAATTTCAGTCGGCCTCTACTTCACACCTCCCCCAGCATCTTTCCCTACCCCTCTTGTGTCTATGACATAAAAGAACAGCCAACCTTTGTGATATTCCGACTGTGGGCTCTGTGATTAAGGATGCCTAGGACGTGGGCCGTGTGTTCATTGTTGGAACTGTGCCATACGTTTGTAAATCGTAAATAATGAAAATGGCTTTAAAAAGACGCAAAGCTTCACCACACAGTGCGATAGGTCAGGATATGTGGTTAGATGGGCACTGTCGTGAACAATAAAACAGCTTCAATCTTCATTTGAAGCTTTCGTGACTGCAGGAATCCATACTCTTTGGTTCTTTCGGTAAAGTCACGAAGGTAGAAAATAAAATAAAACAAATCACGACGTTTCGATCGCAACACAAGCAATCTTCATCAGGTGGAACAACCACAGCAAGAAAACTGCTGAAGTAGGCGAGAGATCTGCCGTGGCAATATTGTGTCAGATCTCCCTGTCACAATGTCATTAGTAGGCAATGTACTGCTCAATTGATTGATCGATTCAACAATTAAGATATTCTTAATCTCATGATGCAAGCCTCAAATTGCATGTGTAAAAATCAATTGCTTCCATTTACGCAAATCGCATTCAATTGCTGGATTCACTTCCATTGAACAAAAGACGCAGTGTGGTAATAACATGCGAGGCAGACAATAACAAAACAAAATAGATATTTTTTTTGTTGCTCGTTGGCAAATGAATTAATTTCTTATTTCGCCTATGAAAGTCTAACAAGCAACAGATGTCCTTCCCCCCGCACCTCCGATTCGCAGAACATACGTACGTACATATGTACATATGTACGTATATATGTACATACGTACGTACATATGTACATATGTACGTATATATGTACGTATATATGTACGTACATATGTACATACGTACGTACATATGTACATACGTACGTACATATGTACATACGTACGTACATATGTACATACGTACGTACATATGTACATACGTACGTACATATGTACATACGTTACGTACGTACATATGTACATACGTACGTACATATGTACATACGTACGTACATATGTACATACGTACGTACATATGTACATACGTACGTACATATGTACATACGTACGTACATATGTACATACGTACGTACATATGTACATACGTACGTACATATGTACATACAAACTGCCTTGATTAACAAGCGGCAAGCGCAACCGGTGACCCGTTACGTCAAGAGGGTTTGGGGCAAAGCGCTTGCTTGCTGTGTGACCCCAGTGTGTCGGCTCACCCTGACAGATCCCAGCGACGGCCGGGAACTTCCGCGAGTAGACGCTGTCGTAGTGATTCCCGTTCGAGAAACACAACAGGATCTGCCAATAAAGCCAAGAATCGTGTACAACAACAACAACAAAAAATTAACCCGTAAAAACAAAGCTTTTCACTATAAATCCTTTATATGCGTGGCATCGGTTTTATTTAATTATTCATTTCTGTTTTTCTTGAGTAAGAGTTTCATTTTTATCACATTGGTATTTTAAATAAAATATGAAAATTTTTTTTCCTAAAAAGTGGAAAATTTTGGAAAAAAATTTTCACGAAAATAAATTGTCACGCACAACGAGTCTGTGTGCAAAATGTCAGCTCGATTGGATCACGGGAAGTGGGTTAAAAAACGACCAAAAGATTTGCACGGTCGTAAGTGCACAAGCAAGCAAGTGAACTTAATATAAAGGATTTAAAAAACCCTTACAAAACTAAACGCCATTCATTAGTAGTACATACCCTGGCATGCCAAGAGGAGGTACAGCAAAAACAAATGTGGACTCCACCTGTTCTGCCTCTGTGGGATAGAGTGTTTCCCCCTCGCACGCGTGGATTTTCTCTGGGTGCTCTGGTTTCCACTCGTGAAATTGGCCGATAACACCTTAATACATATAGAGGACTGCAAAGCTTGGGCAATTGTTGGCGCCGGCGCATTGCATGGCTGCCTTCCTGCTTGTCTGTGGCTCCTTTTGCCTCGGAGTTGTTCTCTCCGTCTACGAGAACGAACTAATACCGTGCGCGTTACAAGCTGAAATTAGCATTATATGGCAGAAATGTCTAACAGGCAGATTCGCACGCCGATGATGGATCAGCCGAAACAAACTGCTTCATTTGATTTGCCCTATTGTTAGAACCACAAGTTTTCAGTAACACTCGTACGCAGTGAATATGTTTTAAGCCAAAGTAAGCTCCAGGTTGTGGAACGCATGCCGTGAGAACAACGGATGAATCACAAGGCCCATAGTCGTGGTGGCCATTAAATAAAAACGGAATAAATTCAAACAAAAACATTGCAATGTTCCTAACAGATAAGTGGAGATATTTGTCCTGCTTCTCAGAGCAAAAGCAGTGACTAAGAATGTGAACGTGCTCTAAGGACTGTGACGTGAATCAATGAATGCGCTCAAGTCCGTCGATTCGTACTTTGTCTTTGAATCCATGCTCCGTTACGTTTGCTGGTGGTCTCCCCGGTTCTTGGTAGATGATAAAATCTCGACTGCGAGCAAAGAGAAAATGAAACAAAAATTACACAAATATCCACGACACTTTAAAACACTTAGACAAGCTACCGCTGACACTTGTGGAATGCAAGTGATCAACTATGAATAAACTATTAAATTATCACTCGTGGTTAAACACCAATCAACTGACATCGATTAACACAGGTGTGGCTATTAAAACTATTCACGAGCTCTGAATTAAGATGCTCCAGGGATTAATTATGGACAAATATGAAAGAAAAACATGATAACCCACATCTCGTTGTCCTGAAAGTATGATAGTTTTTGTTTTTAAGTGGCCAGATTGAGTGCATGAATTAATTTACTCATTATGACTACGTTTCTGAGTGACTGGCAGAGCCGCCCTCGAGCCTACACACCTGATTGACTCATAAGTGATGACATCACACTTATCCCTCTATTTAAGACCGAAACAGGATTTCTCCACAAATCTGTATGGTCGCCTGATGATGCCAGTTGTAATTACTGATCAAACGTCCTACTCAAACTGTAAATGTTGTGCTGTACTAATAACGAATTGGCATATTTTGTTGACGTGACAAACATTTTTAAATGGCCGTGTCGGGTGGTGGCGGGTTTAACGACACATTTATATTTACGCTATCTAAACCTAAAAACCTCGATTAAGACAGCCTCACTCTGCCGATGAGACAGTGAATGTCAAAACAGTTCAAGAATTTGTATGCATTGAACCAATGCAGCTGAAAAATAAATCACTCCCAGAAGGCCATGTAGACAATGGAATGTGTAAACACAATCTCGTGTACCTTTATGAGTAAAAAACATATATGGAAAGGAGGCTTATGCGAGGGGTAACAATTTCTTCCCGGGCACTTCTCATGCATTAGCGCCATGCAGCCGATTGCTTTTCATGATTGAGGGCAGTCGACCCTGATACTGGTATCAAACATCCCTACCCTACCCTACCCTTTTTCTGTGCCTCGAAAGCCCGGCACACTCAAGGACGCACACTTCCAGACAAAATGTGTTTCCTTCGCTGTAGGCGCGACGTTTCCACAAGCAGAGCAACAAGTCTCCCGGATTAGCAGACCCGCGTTCTACTTTGAGAAACATTTCCCAACATTTCGCCTCTGGCCAATCAGCAGGCTCTGTGAGCAACGGAGTCATCATCGGTCACGTGACTGTGCATGGCGTTGTTTTCTCAAGGTTTCTGAACGACTTTTTAAAATAAATGTTTTGAGTGAACAATAACCGCACATCTTCTTGGTTCTTTCGGTAAAGTCACGTAGAATGGACAGACCTGTTCTCCACCTGAGGACGGCTGCTTGCGTTGTGGCCGAAACGTCGTGAGAATTTATTTTATTATGTTTTATTTTTATTATTTTATTATTACTATTCTACGTGACTTTACCGAAAGAACCAAGAAGATGAATCCCTGCAGTCACGAAAGCTTTAAATCGAAAAATAAACGCACATTTGTGGTGGGAACGTGTATGTGGACGCGCGTGTCTTTGCTTACGCTGGGACTTAAGGCTTTTAGGAGCATCGTTTACGTCATTGTTCATTTGGTAAAATCGGATTTAGAGCCTTTAAGTCTTAGACGGCAAAAGAAAATCCCGCCTCGCTGAGGACTTACCTGTACATTATGGAAAGTGCATTTATTTCTAAGTCGCCGCCCCATTCCTGCGGGAAGAAATCGAATGAGCAGTTGTTTAAAAACTGATGTTCTTGTTCGTGACAAACTTTCATGACGTGTTCTCACTCACCCCCCCACAACCTCTAAATGTTTCTCATTGTCACCAATAATTTGCCAGGCCTCCATTGTGAAAGAGGTGATGCATCTCAATGGACTGAACGGAGTGCATAGTAATTCCTGCGATTTAATTTCAAAGTAATGCAGGTGCAAGCAAACAATATAACTAGGGCTTGCGAGGATTCGTGAATTACAATAGATTCTAATGTGCACGAAACACGTCAAAAATCGCGCACCTAGCCACCGATTGTGTTCAATTTGTGCAAGTGACGTGCAAATTGCACATGAACGTACCTGCATATGAATACAATGAACACGACAGAACAAATGAGAGAGAACGCAACAAAAACCAGAGAAGGCAAATAAGATCGGAAAATTCAGACTAACCCGCCCCCCCCTTCCTCCTCCTCCCTCGATTCTTGTATAGAGTGGTGACCACGAATCGTGGAAAATTTCACCGAATTGGAAGGAGGAAAAGAAACAACACTGTACTGCACAATAAAAACAAATCAACACATTTGTCAATATGTGTTATTGACACATTTGTCAATAACACCACGTGGCCTTAAATTGGGAAATATGTAATAGGTGATGTTTTTGGCATCGGCCCTCCTTCGTAGCACATTGAATCCACAGGATTAAATCTTCATAGCACTTTATGCGATGAAGATTGCTCAAAATGTCACAGTGGCGCTTCATCGTACACTTTGTGCTACTTTGTGCATTTTGTGCTAAGGCCACACACAGTGTTCTTGACAAATGTATTGAGTTGTTTTTGTTACCTGTACACCACTGCCAATGCGATATCACAAAATACATTTTATTCCACATTTTGTGGGGGTTTAAAGGAGGCATAATTTTTGGTAAAATCGACACGGGATGATATTTAGACACACACGACAGGGAACCACCACTGGGTTATGCTGTTCGTCTCATCAACGACACACTGAACAATTTTTTAAAGCGGTGACGGGCATTTTCTCAAACGCTGATCACGATTTTCGAACAACAAAGCCACGATACCTTAGCAACGTTCCTAACAACGTGGCACACGCCAACTCCGCTTCAGCTTCACATGGCAGTCTGGGTAATGACCATTAAAATCAATTCTTGCGCTCACAATGTACACTGAATTATCATCGCCATCATCAGCCACGGTCAATCCACTGTTGGATTCAAGCCTCTCCAAGCCACCCGCACACCTCATGATCCCATCATGTCTTGATCCACCTAATATCTGCGCCACAAAGGCAGGATGTTAACTCCCTCGCCTGATATACAGGTGTTCGGGAGTTTGATCCTGACTGACGCCTGCTGTATATTTGGAGTTTGCATGTTCTCCCTGTGGTCGCGTGGATTTTTCTCTGGGTGCTCCTGCTTTTTCCCTCCACATTTAGAATCAACATGCGTTTAGAGCAAGGGTGGCACAGTCGGGTTTTTTACAATCGGGTTTAATTGTCTTTTTATATTAAACCCGATCATCTGAGATTGAGAGAAATCCGGTTTAATTGGTTCTAATTGCGGCATCCGAGCGGAACTTGTCAACGATGGGCTTCATCCATTCCAAGCCAAGGAACTCACTGGCGCCCACGATTGTGGAGAAGCTCGTGTTCATCAAGACCAACCTGCCCGCCGCATTCTACGACTACCCTGTGCCCGACGGCCCCCCCGAGTACGATAGCAGCACCGACGAGGAAGCAGCCTAAGCCTTGGATCAGAGTTTCGTATTCATTAAACCAGGTTTTAATTCCCCGAAATCTGGTTTAATTGTATTAAAGAAAAAACCCGATGCCTGTCGCTGGAAAAATCGGGTTTTTTCCACCCATGGTTTGGAGTATATGGCTGCTATAAATTTCCATATGAGAAGCCATTTCATTGAGCTATCATTTGTGGCTAGGTGCCTTCTAAAAAAGAGCGATATAACTTAGTGGGCATTACCCGGTAAAATTAAAAAAAGTTTAGTTTTAATTTACTTGCTTAATCTCAGAGACTGAAGTGGGTAAATAACTAGAATTAGAATGATTACATTGGCTTCCCATTTGGCAAAGCGATACAACGCGTAGTGACGTGCAAATGAATACCGACAATGATGTAACATCATGACCATTATTACCTTCGGATTTGAAAGCTGCTGCAAATGATCTTCAAACGAGCCTTCGACGAACTGCAATGAAATAAAACCGTCATTGTAAACATGAATTCACTTAAATTTTGATTTAAAGCTTACGTGACTGCAGGGATTCATATTCTTGGTTCTTTCGGTAAAGTCACGGACAGTAGAACCTCTGGTCACGACCATAATTCGTTCCATAACTTTGGTAGGCAACACGATTTGGTCGTGACTCAAACTTAATTTTCCCCATTGGATTGTATGTAAATACGATTAATTCGTTCCAGACTCCTACGAACTGTATATAAATGTAGTTTTTTAAAGATTTTTAAGCACAGAAATAGTTCATTATGCCATAGAATTCACGGTGTAATAGTAAACTAAATGTAAAAACATTGAATAACACTGAGAAAACCTTGAACAACAGAGAAAACTAACATTGCCGCGTCAAGGTTTAGAATCGTTCAACAAGATGATTGTTTCGTCTGCTACATCAGTCGGTCGATTCTGAGAGAGAGAATATTCGTATGAGCAATTCATGTTTCTATTGAAAGTAAATTAACAGTAATATTTGGGTACAGTATTGTCTTTGGAAGCATTCACCGTAATATCGTATGAACGTTTCCTTCACCGCATCATCGTATGAATGATGCGAGAAGAGATTAACGGGTTCTTATGTTAGCGATTAACGTACTCAGCGCTTTCACTCTCTAAATTACGGCTTGAATGAGGGGGGAGGGGTATGACTACACTCACAAAATTAATATCTTACTTGGAATTTAATATAACAAAAGTTATATACATAACTGTTACGCTTTGTGTAATTCAACAAAACAAACAAAACTTAACTCCGAGTTCTCTCCGAATTTCACGAGTCCGTTCTAGACCCCACAGTTTTTTTTTGAGTTTTAAGCACAGAAAACATAATTAAAGTTTAATAGTAAAATATAAATTTAAAAACCTTGAACAGAGAAAAAACCTCAAACAGAGAAAAAAAAAACTTAAATAACAGAGGAAAAAAATTTACCGTAAATAACCAAGGAAACAAACCTTGCATGTGGGTTGCTGTTGTTTGTAAACAAACAAACAAGAGGAAATTTGGCGCTTACAAAAAAATGGCGCGGAAGGGCGCGGCCGTGTTTGATCGCCACCCGAGTATGTGTTCGTGACCAGATTTTAAAAAATTGTGAATTTTTTTATCGGAACCCGATTGGGTCGTGGTCAGAAGCATTTGTGACCAGAGGTTCTACTGTAGAAGGGAAATAATCAAATTATACAATTTTCTTGCTGTGGATTTCACACCTGATGATGATTGCTTTGTGTTGCAGTCGAAACGTCGTGAGCATTTTATTGTTTTATATTTTTATTATTGTATTATTTCCCTTCTACGTGACTTTACCAAAAGAACCAAGAATATTAATTCACTTGTTCAGAAAAGCGTGCCTAAACCAGAGTTGGGACAACCTACAGACCCCAAGGGCCATATGGGGGACCCATGACGTTTTAATTTACACGGTCCGCTGGACACACGAAGTCTATCAATTCATCGAGCCCACAAACGATATTCATCCACCACTGCAAAAATCTTCACACTAATCCACCAAAAGTGATCTCAAAGTCTTATTCGGCCAACGCCTGCCAACTCGACTGCCGCGTTTGCATCGGAGGATTCACTCAACCTCCCGCACTGCGCTGCATTGGACACACAAACTATGACAGACACGATCCATAATATCATCGAATGTCTATCTTAAAAAAATACTGCGTTGGTAAAACAGATCATGCTTGCCAACACGTTTGCATGTGGAGTGGCGTTTGCTCAAACGCAGTGTTTATCACACATTTTCAGAGAGGGGCTGCTTTTGACAGTAAGACATCATCAGTGTGAGGGCTGCCACACATTTGAAACCATTGGGAGGTTTGACAGCACAATGGGGGTGTTTTAACATTTGTGTATTGTCGGGGGCAGCACAAAAAACCTCCAGAGGCTGCCAGTGGCCCACGGGCCTTGCAATAAAGATCACTAGCATGGACGTTTTGTACTTTTGTGTTCGAGACACAATACAGCTCAATGGACAGAGCAGCAAAGCTCCCTAAGTTATGAATATGCAAGTGTAAACCCTGGTCAGGGATGACGCGGCCTCAACAGTCATTGTCATTCCTCAAAAATCAATAACAAAGCACCAGCAGATGAGACAGAACAACTTATCAGTGGTTGACTGAAAAACGGAACTCATTCTTATCAACGGAATGTGGAATTTCCAAGAATGGCTCAAGGAAGCCAATGGAAATGAGCAATTCCCAGGATTAATTTTTAGGCAGTTCACGGGGCATGAATTAATAAATTATAGTGGAATCTTTCGCGCATGATATATGCAATGAGTCGTACGTGTAACTCCTCATTGAACACAATATATGCAAATATATTGAAATGACATGAAAATGTTCCATTTATGATCATGAAGTGAACAAATCCAAGTTTAAATACAAACGAGTAAGGGAAAAACAGACCAAAAAATATAAAAACTCATAAATCTAATCATGATCGTGAACGGTGACAATTCATGAAATTGCCGAAAGGGTGAATCATCAAATATTACAGCAAAGGGTTACTTTGATATTAAGCCAACCCGCACCTCCGATTAGCATGGATGGCTATGTATGGTGCAAATGAATTTCAACATACATACATATGCGTGCGTGTGTTATCCAATTATTCACAGTTTTTTATACTCATTCTAGATTTCGATTTAAAGCTTTCGTGACTGCAGGGATTCAACTTCTTGGTTCTTTCGGTAAAGTCACGTAGAAGGGAAATAATACGATAATAAAAATAAAACATAATAAAATAATTATTACGACGTTTCGGCCACAACGCAAGCAGCCGTCCTCAGGTGAAGAACAGGTCTGTCGGCTGCTTGCGTTGTGGCCGAAACGTCGTGAGAATTATTTTATTATGTTTTATTTTTATTATTTTATTATTTCCCTTCTACGTGACTTTACCGAAAGAACCAAGAAGATCATTCTAGATTGTCCGAATTAGCGCCAATGACTGTGGGATTACCGTAATTAAAGGCCACGGAGTCCACTTAAGGGTCACACCAGTCGAAGGGAATTGCATGGAAATTCATCAGGTGCTCAATTAATAGAGAATGCAGCATCTCTTCCCTCTGGTCTCTCGAGAAAATGATCTGACTTACATATGCATTCCACACATGAAATTAAAACCAGAAACGAGACGATGTTAACGCTGAAATCTGCAGTGACCCACACATTCCGTCCCCTTGCGGAAACATATAAGGATACGCTGCTGCCATTTGCATTTCTACATAAAAAAGTTTTTTTAATAAATGTCAATTTCAAACAAGGAGTCGCCTTCGGTGTGTTACGTGCACCGTTATGATAGTTTAACATGCGTTACAGAGTTTGCCATCTCAGGGATGTTCTCTCCCTTTGCCGCCACTGTCATTAGCTTAGACCACCGGCCATCGTCCCTTCTAGCCAAGCGTCCTGTTCCAGCCCACTTGCTTTTCATAACAGTAATAAAATTAACCCGTAAAAACAAAGTTTTTCACTATAAATCCTTTATATGCGTGGCGGCTAGAGTCCTCTCGTCCTCTGGCTTGAGATGGCTGCCACCTATGGGTCAGATGATTGCCTGCCACCATTAAGCAATTGGTAATTAAATATAAAAAAAATTCTAAGAAGTGTCAAATTTTGGAGAAAAAAATTTCACGAAAATAAATTGTCATGCACAACGAGTCTGTGTGCAAAATGTCAGCTCGATTGGATCACGGGAAGTGGGTTAAAAAACGACCGAAAGATTTGCACGGTCGTAAGCGCGCAAGCAAGCAAGCAAGTGAACTTAATATAAAGGATTTAAAAACAAGATGAAACATCTTAGAGGCGTAATACCCTTTCCGGCAAGAATACAGAAGGCGTTAAAACGTTCAAACACCAAATAGCCATGAGGTTAACCACACATGCTTGTGGCAAAACATGCTAACAAACATGCTTTCATAATAATGTACGCATTGGCCTACACCAGAGAGACTCCTTTATGGCTCTGTCTCACTTGTGTCAGACCAGAGAACGCCAAAAGGTGAACAATACAAAGGCAATGCAGATATCAGAGCATTAATAGCTTGGGTCACACAATTTAATCTATGGGACCCTTTCTGGCAGTATCAAGATGATGAAAAAATGAACAGGCTTTACCCTTTCGATTTAAAGCTTTCGTGACTGCAGGGATTCATCTTCTTGGTTCTTTCGGTAAAGTCACGTAGAAGGGAAATAATAAAATAATAAAAATAAAACATAATAAAATAATTCTCACAATTTATATTTTATGATAATGCTTTATTTTTATTATTTTATTATTTCCCTTCTACGTGACTTTACCGAAAGACCCAAGAAGAGGCTTTACCCTTTCCGCCAAGAATGTTTTTTCATCATCTTGCTTACTGGCAAAAGGGCCCCATAGATTACGGTAAATAAGAAGTCTCTATCTTGAGTGCGTTTTCAAATCCGTGTGTTCCTCCCTCTCCTCTCCAGATGTCACTCTAAGCATTATTTATTCACGCTCCTTTTCGCACTTATCAGCTTTTGTTCCATTTTGTTTGTCTGTGTGCCTAGATATGTTTTTGTGTTTGTCAGGACAGTCCCATTATGCCCATTAAAACTATTAAAACAATTACATACACACACAGTTTTTGAAGTTCTTCACGCATTTGGAAAATGTATACAAGCACAACTCGATTTAGCTGCGTGCAGATTGTTTACAGGGCCCCTGATTGTGTAGGGAACTATATTTACACAGAGACTCAACGAAGGCTCAATGAATGCTCTATGAAGCTTGCATACAGGGGGCTTGATTCCTGTGTGTGGCGTTTGTCTGGATATTAGTGGTGGCTATTAAAGTGATCATGAAGCAGACACAATGCCACGCTATGGTTGCCCATTTTGTCTTTTGTAACATTTATACACGGACAGAGCCACCTATGTTAGACACGATTGTACGTTTATTAACATCGACGCCGTCAATTCTAAACAAA